GAAACTAAATGTATATATTTAAATTTACTAAAATAATGATTATGAAAGTAAAATTCAATATTTGTCAAAGTATTAAAATTTGTAATCCTAATGGCAATATAGACAGAATGTACTCAATGAGTACATTACCACTAATTTTAAGGATCCCCCAGTATATTTTAAATAATTTGAGACCTGAGAGTTATTACCAGAAAATCAAGGGTACCACGGAGTATATATATTTTCAGATAATGTAGGACCTTGGAGTCATTACAAAAAAATTGAAGGTACCCCGAAGTAATTTTTTGGAAAATGAAAGTAAAATAATACTCCCGCCGTCTAATAATAATCTTCCTTCATGTTTACTACACACATGGTCAAGTTTTATTTACTTTGTTGGCGTATTTTCGTTGCCCATTTGATAAAATAATATAGTCATATCACCTCTAGTTTTGTAGATCTTTTCATGTGGTTTTTAAATATGTAATTTTTATTTTTTAATTCCATACGATTTCTCATATAAAATAACTTGAAAATACTTCGCTCAAACATCGTAACGCGCAACAGGAAAATTATTGTACAATGGAGGAAGTAGTTGTTTCGATGATGAGAAAAAGTGAGAAGAAAGAAATGTGATAAAACAAAGAGATATTTTTATCCTTTTTTAAATGGATGATGAGAGATCAAAATATGTGCAAAATTGTAATTTCATTCTTTTTATCTCACTAATCTACTTTTCTCAACACGTGAGATGAGAAAACTTTCCAAGTTAGACCCAATCACTTTTTCTCTCCTCTCCTCATTTTCTTATGTAAAAATGTAGCACCCTAATCTGTCCAGACATGCAATCTCTTTCGGACTAAAATATAAACTTGATAATCATAAAATTTAATACATTTAAAACATTTCCAAAATTTATTTCATAATAAATTATTTAGAATAGTAATGGAGTATTTACAGTTGCGGAAGCTTAATAAATCACAATTACAAAACATAATAAATTTATGTCTTTTAGAAATAATAATTCAAATCGTCATACCCAACCTGACAATCTCGCCCTATTTGCCGCCAGGATCATGTCACATCATTCTTTCTGTTTTACTGTGTTTAGCAAATAAAACATACTACACGCTCAGCGGTGAAGTTGAGTAAAGATATCTAATGCATCGAACATCCACATAAATTGAATCTCAATTCATAATCAAATCATTTGATATCATCCACATAATATTTAGCTCAGATATTCAATATTCAATATTCATATAGTGCTCTTAAATTATTCTTAATTTAAGACCAAATCATCTTGATAATAATCTTTTAAACTATTCTTAGTCTAAGGCAATAATTTTAACCAACTCTTAAACTATTCCTAGTTTAAGGTACTTCTAACCAACTCTTAAGCTAATCTAGTTTAAGGTACAATTTTTTTAAAAGGTTTTCCAACTCTTAAACTAGTCTTAGCTTAAAGCACACAAGGAACTGAATAGCGGACTACTCACCGTCGGGTCGGGTGGTACCCCCAAATGAGTAGGTACTTAAATTTGATTTCTGGATCCCATACGTACATTTTAACACAGACTACCTGACATCATACCCGCAAGACCTAACTAAATTGGTCATATGGGTATATCTTAGAGCTCTTCTAGATACCCTTAAAAATCAATATCAATTAACTAAACTGGTCATACGGGTATATCTTAGAGTTCTTCTAGATACCCTAAACAATACATCATTTTCCTAATCATCGATATATTCATGTTCAATCATGATTCAATCCTTCATAATTATCATTCCGATCAGAATATTCATCAAAGCTTGATCATAACGATAATAATTATCATAATATCCAATAACAAATAGCGGCCTAGCATCGAGTGTTAACACCCTAGCTTACGGTCATGCATCAAACAAGATTCTTGGATTTATCAAATCATCGTATTTATTTCCTGAAATCATTTTCATATTAATTATAATTGAATAGTATCAAAAATAGGATTTAATAGTTCAAAAATCAGGTTTTTGGAAAATTTCAGGTCTTGGACAGTACCCGTTACGATACCTCGGTACCGGTTCACGGTACCTCAGTACCGTCCGTAGCTAGGTACCTCCAGAGAAAGAGAAGTAGCAGCAGACGGCAGAGAGTCTATTGTTTTAACGGTATAGGCTACCGTGCGGGCGGTACCGTGATACCGTTCTACGCGTAATTTAAATAGTGTCATCTTCAACCTCGGGCCAATTTTTGAAAATTTTATTTTAATTCACCAAACTTCAATTAAACTATATAAAAATGTTCTCCAAGGTTCATAGATCATTTTGGTATCAATAATTTAAAGTTTTAACAACAAATTCAAGGTTTAAGATTCTTGGTTCTTCAAACTTGTCAAACACAAAACTCAACCAAACGAACGTTTATGAACGTAGAAACGATCTATACGAACATTCTAATCACTAGATATATCTAAGGGCTTACCTCGGGCTTAAATGAAGATTTTGGAAAAATTTCGGCGAAACTTCCGGTGAGGATTGTGGCTTACTCCGGCGACCTCTCACCAAATCGACAATACCACTACACTCCTCTCTCAACAAGGAACAAAATAGAAGAAGAAATGTGAAGGTTTGGTGAAAAAAATGAAGGAGTTGAGTACTCCTTATATAGGGAGAGTGGGGAGGTCCCGCCAAGCTAAAGTGACGACTTCGATCGGCTAAAATCATGTTAGTGGAGGGAGCGGCGATCCATTTTGATTACTTACGCTTCTCCTTGATTGGGACTAATTTTGGTCCCAGTCGGGGTACACTTTTTTGTCCAACTTTCGCCGAATTAACATTCGATTGAACCATTGCGATCAAATTGTCAAACTCTACACAACGATATAATATTCATTATTTATTTAAAAACTTTAAAAATCAATTATTTTTGGGCCCTTCTTACTGATTAATTACTCCATCCGTCCCCCAGTTTTGTCCACTTTTGACTTTTAGAACTATTCATCTAAGCACTTTGACTCATCAAATTCTCTCAATGTGTAAGCCTAAATATAGTCATGTGAGATCTTGTTTGATTTGTTTTAACATATAGATTATTAATATATAATTTCTATAATTTTTTAATATACAAATTACAAGATAAAATGGATTAAAGAAGTGCATTGGATGGTGTGTAAAAATGAAAGTGGACAAATACTCTAGGACGGAGGGAGTAATTAATTCTGATAGACCTATTTTTGGGGTGTTACATTTCTCTCCCCCACAAAATAATTTCATCCTCGAAATTACCTGAGTCATTGACTGAAGAGATTCAGATATTGTGCCCTCATTGACTCTTCGATTTCCCAAGTCGCTTCTTCAGTTGAGTGATATTTCTCCATAGTATTTTTACTAGAGAAAGATTTGTTTCTCAGCTCATTGCTTTCATGTGCCACAATTTGAACAGGTTCTTCTTCATAGGTCAAACGTTCGCCCAGTGTTACAATTCCATCGGTCAAGATATGTGAAGGATTAGAACGATATCATTTTAGTATTGACACATGAAATACATCGTGAATCTTGTTCAGTTCTGGTGGAAGTTCTAACCGATAGGCTACTGGACCCACATGCTCAGTGATCTAATAGGGTTCAATATACCTTGGACTCAGTTTTCCCTTCTTACCAAATCGTAACACCTTCTTCCATTGTGAAACTTTCAGAAACACCATGTCATCCACATGGTTTTCGATCTATTGACGTTTCAAGTCGACATAAGATTTCTGTCGATCAGACGCCACTTGCAGTCTCTCTCTAATCAGATAAACTTTTTCTTCATTTTCTCGGACAAGATTAGGTCCTTCAAGCTTTTGCTCACTTAATTCGGTCCAACATACTGGGTTCTACAACGTTTCCCATACAGGTCTTCGTACAGGGCCATTTGGATACTCGTTTGATAGTTGTTGTTATAATCGAACTCTATTAAGGGTAGGTGTTGTTCCAAGTTGTTTCTAAAATCGATCACACATGCTCTCATCATATCTTCTAAGATTTGGATTGTTTTTTCAGATTGTTCATCTTTTTGAGGACGAAATAGTGTACTAAAATTGAGTTTACTAAATCAATATACTTCAAAAACTAAATCTAATTTAATTGAGGACCAAGTTTCATACAGTTTACTCGAAAAAAAAGTCTTACAGGCATACATGCTAGGATGGAGGTAGTAAATACATTAGTGTAAGAATTAATGTATTTCGAAGGTATAATAAGACTAGACCTAGTTTTGTCTTGTTTTTTTAAAAAGACCACCCAATATGCAATCAATAGTCTTTCACTACAATGTAAGAGCTAAATTAGACCGTCCTAACTCGCCCCCTTTCACCAACTGGCCACAATGGTTAGCTTTGGTGAAATTGAGGGGGGGGGGGGGGGGCTTTAGACTTTAGAGAGATAAGAAATCTCATTTTTTAAATGAAACACTGTAGGCTTGAAGTCCAATCTCACATGAAGGCCTTATTCTTTTCAGTTGAAAAAATTAACTTCAAATTTTTTCCAATTCCTTCCAGCTCCTTCCAGTTTTTCCAACAATAACTTAAAAACGTGTTTCTATATGATTAATATAAAATAAAATTATATATCCAAATTTTAAAAATATCACCACAAACACGGACAATAATGAATTTCTTTTATCTAAAATTAGAGTTTCCTTACATATTTATTTTGATGATCATTTAATTGAGTGATTTCATAACACTTAAATTCTTCCAACATTTTCCAACTGTTTCTAATTTTTTCTAACTCCTTTGAGTTTCTTCCCGTTCCTTTTAATTTCTTTCAATATCCAATTCTGAAATTCGAAGAGGACCGAAAAGTGATTTAAATGTCAATATTAGTTCTCATAAAAAAAGCTTAGGTCAAACCCATCATTAATGCCCTCAATTAGTGTGGGTGGGTGGGTGGGTGGGGGAGATGAGGGCGTAGCCGTTGTGCCCTCAATCCATCCTTCGTGCTTGTCCAAGACTATCCAATCCTCTTCTGCAGACCAAAATCATTTCTCTCCTACGCACCTCTTCTTCTCACACCCTCTCTCTGCATTTTGCAGGGCAAAGATTTAAGATTTTTGTCTGGTCTGCTTTTCTGCGGTCCCCTCCCCATTAGAGAGCCCCACTCCACCGTTTTGTACAAGTACTAAAAGCCAACTACCCGCCGAAATTGCTTTTTTGCTTTCTCTTTTTTGGATTCTTTGTGCACTGTCTTCCTTCCAACTCCCCACTGCCCATATCTACCGCTGCAGAAGGAGACCCCACCCCGGTCCCTTTTTGCTCCGTTGGGTTCTCAAGGAAGAAGACAATGAGGGCTAGGGTTCCCTTTCTGCGCGCCTGCTATTATTCCAGCTCAATGTAAGGTAACGAGTTCTTCCTTTCTTCCTTGTCGATTGCATCTTTTTTTCTTCCAATCCAGCTCCTCTTAGACGATTAATGTGTTATTTTTACCGTATATTGGAATATTGGGTGATGTTTGATTTGATTTCTTTGGGTTTAAATTCGAGTGAAACTGCTTCATTAATTGGGCATTTGAAGGGGAGATGGGTTTTTACTCTTTGAATCCAGTATCATTGTGTAGTTTAGTTTCTGGGTTTACCTCAAAGTGTTTGCCTTTGAATTGCGCCAACTGAAGATTCTTTCTCCCCCTCTCTTTGGCGTATGGATTTTCATTTTTCAATGCTCAAGGAGTGAATGGGTTCTTTTTTTCTTTTCTTTTTAATCTTCTTTTTGCAAAATGGCAGCTCAATTACTTGAAACTCAAATAGCAAAAAGTGGTAGATTTGTGCTTATGATTTGCAACCTCTTACAACTCCATAGATTTTTCTTGGATTCAGGAGGGTCATAGAGTAAATTCTGAGTTTTGGATCTTAAGGATTCTCATGAAGAATATGCCGGCAATGTCTTCTGGGAGTTTAAACACCGAACTGTCGAAGAAGACCTCCTTTCTAGGTTTAAAGCTATGGGTAGTGATCGGCATCTGTGTTGGTGTGTTTATTACTGGAATTCTATGTCTTTTGTCAGTGTGTGTCACATTTCGCAGAAAATCTAAACGAACATTGGGCAAGGACCCTTGTTGTCAAATACCTGATATTTCAAAGGATATCACAGTTTACAGGATTGATGCTCCAAGTTTTCATGATCATCCCGAGAATTTATCTCTTTGTAATATTTATGATAAATCAAGTGAGAGGCTTTCAGAGAAAATGAGTGTTCATTTAGGAAGGAGCAAGTCGAGTGATGCTGACAACATCAGTCAATGCAGTTCAAGTTACCGTCTTGAGAGAGGTGGTAGTTCACAGTCCGGGGAGGAAGGTAGTTCTGGAACATTTCGTAAAAAGTCTTCATATCTTCCAATGCCATCACCTCTGATTGGCTTGCCTGAGTTCTCACACCTTGGGTGGGGCCACTGGTTCATGCTTCGAGATCTTGAGCATGCAACAAATCATTTCTCAGCAGATAATGTGATTGGCGAAGGCGGCTATGGTGTCGTTTATAGGGGTCAGTTGATCAATGGGTCAGAGGTAGCAGTAAAGAAACTTCTCAATAATCTGTGAGTATGAGTAAATACTAAATAGTTGCTCCCTAAAATACAGTCTTGCTCTTGGCCATAATTTAACCGAGCATATACAGTGGTCAGGCAGAGAAAGAATTCAGGGTTGAAGTGGAAGCTATAGGCCATGTTCGACACAAGAACCTCGTGCGACTTCTTGGTTATTGCATTGAAGGTGTCCACAGGTAAAAAGAATCTTCAAGGAATAGGCTATCTACTTGTTTGAAAAGTTTGAGGCATTTGATATTATTTATGTGAATGTTACTGGTTTGTCATGTCTCTAATTAGTACTCCTTCAGGCCCTAAACAATCTTCCCATTTCGGATTACGATAATAGACTGAAGTTATGTTTAATTCAATTTATTTAAATATTGGTATAGAATTAAAAAAATAAAAAATATACATTTAAAAAATACATCAAAAGTTCTACAAAACAAGTGGTGACTTAGACTGTTTTGTTTTATCAAATGGTCAATGAAAATGCGTAAAGAATTTTTTTACTTTGGAATAGTAATGACTAATGAGAAGATTAAAAAGGAACAGTGGAGTACGAAAATGTGGTTTTCTTGTTTTTGCCATCATTTTTTCAAATTAGGATTTTCCATTGCCATGTCTTTCGATTAAGGTTGATCTGTTTTAAACTTGAAGGATGTTGGTGTATGAATATGTTAATAATGGAAACTTGGAGCAGTGGCTTCATGGAGGGATGAAACAACACGGTACACTTACGTGGGAGGGCCGTATGAAGGTTCTTCTAGGCACTGCAAAGGCGTAATTTCCCTTATCCCATAAAACATCATTTATATATGCGTTAATTCATGTGCTGCTAAATTACATTATCTCTAAACTCGTGTAGGTGGTTTTGACTTCTTTTCATTTTTTTCTTTGGCAGCTTGTTTCAACCAATTCGATTCATGGATTCTCATCTTTTAGATAATGATAATGTTCAGATCTCTCTTATTCCAATCCAAGTTCAATGCCTTTAATCCAATGGAGACAATTTTTATGTGCCATTTATATCCAAATCGGCGATCCAGGGGGGTGCNGAGCACCGTAGGTGCCCCAAAACCACTGGTGTCACGAAGTGGTGTCATTTTTGTTGGTGTGACATTACAACCTCTCATATATATATATATATATATATATATATGTATGTGTGTGTGTGTGTGTGTGTGTATTTATTTTGTGCAGAAAACTATGAGCCCGTTTAAGCCTAGATAAAACTGTTTTATATTTTGTGCAGGCTTGCATATCTTCATGAAGCTATAGAACCAAAAGTTGTTCACAGGGACATAAAATCCAGTAATATCTTAATTGATGACGATTTCAATGCCAAGGTTTCTGACTTTGGCCTAGCAAAGCTTTTGGATTCGGGAGAGAGTCACATTACAACGAGAGTAATGGGCACATTTGGGTATGCGGCTTTCTATGTTGAGTATACTGTGTCGTCCTCGTAATAATATAATCCCTCCGTCCCTAAATTAAAGTCACACTTTTCATTTTCGGTGTCCCAAAATTGATCACACTTCTAACATTTTCTTATAAGGAAAAGAATATGCGGCTCCTAAAATTTTTTTTCTCTTTCTTTTAAACAAATTCTAACCACCCGTCATATACTTTTCAACACCTCTCTTAAATTCCATAAAGTCAAAGAGTGAGGAACAAAAGGAGTAGTTTTTTTTCTTCTGAATACTAATGATTTCCTGTGTGTTCAGTTATGTTGCTCCAGAATATGCAAATTCTGGGCTGCTGAATGAAAAGAGTGATATTTATAGTTTTGGTGTCTTACTGCTAGAAGCAGTGACCGGAAGGGACCCAGTAGATTATGGTCGTCCTGCTAATGAGGTACCCAAAACCATTTATCTCTAGATGTGCTCTAAAAAAAGAACTTCAGTTCTGTGACACACTTCTGTCTATAAGGTATTTAGTGAAAGGATATGTCTACTATGCACAGGTGAATCTTGTTGAATGGCTAAAAATGATGGTTGGTAGTCGAAGGGCCGAAGAAGTTGCAGATCCTAACCTTGAAGCTAAGCCCGGTGCTCGTTCTTTGAAACGAGCATTGCTAGTGGCACTTCGATGTGTCGACCCTGACTCAGAAAAACGGCCTAAAATGAGTCAAGTTGTTCAAATGATGGAAGTGGATGAGTTTCCTTACCGTGAGGTGCACTTGTCATAACATTGGACCATTTATATAAAAGACTCGAATCTAAGTTCTTTGCCTTGTTATATTCTTTACTGCATGTTGGTTCGTCCTAAGCTATGACCACAAATCCTAAACCTTGCACCTATTCTAAATGGGGTTACAGACACTAAGCTATCAAGGGTTTTATAGCAAGGACTAAGCTGCGTTCCGTTCGCATGTTATGATGTGATCTGATTTTTTGAAGATCTAATATGTTGTGATCTGATTAAGATGCTTCTGATCTGGTCTGACTGATTTTAATAAGAGTAAGTTGAAAAAATAAGTGGAACGGAACACAGCCTAGATCGAGTTATTTATAAATCGCCATGTAGTTTTTGTCTGATACTTATAGGGGCACACAGTGTTGTATACTGTGTGAAGTACCAAATTATTGCTGTTGCAGAGCTGATAACTGAAGTTCTTATGAAATTTTTAGGACCGCAGGAACAAAACTCGAACATCTAGCCTGGAGATTGAATCCACAAAAGACGGTGGCAGCTCCCGGTCAGTTGACATAGAAACTGGGGCAGGGAAATCAGATACATCTGCGACAATTCCGGAATAAGAGAAATGCGGTTTGGTTACCGTTTGACTGATCATAAGATTCATAATTTTTATATTTGTTCCCGGGGAGATAATGGCATCTCAGAGAAGCCCTGTTCGTGACGATTCAGTGATTTGCTAAGCTGCTACAGGTTGTGGAGGCAATTTTGAATGCAGAGCAGGGTGAGCAAAAAGAGTGGTTCAAGTTTACACATGTTTTCAGGGTTGCCCTTTATATGATTTTGATGAAATCACTGGTTTCTTTATTTGTCTGTTAGATTTTGGGTGGTATAACAACATTTCCCTGTTATTAAGATTAGTTTTATTTGAGGGTGTTTGGGAGTGATTAACTTATGGATAAAGTGATTTCCACAAAAGCTGAAAGCAGAAGCACCTCCTACCTGCTTCTCCGAAACGGTGTTCTATGTACAAAATAATGGTGGTGAAAAGCAGAAGCTGACATGCCAAACAGAGTAAAATTACTTCTACTCAAAGCAGAAGCTAAATGATTAAAAGCAACACACTGCCAAACAGCCTCTTTGGAATCTCCCTGAAAACAGCAGTAGATCCAGGCACTAATTAGGTTGTTTTGTTTTTCTTTTTAATACCACATGAGTTGCAAACACTGTAGTTGTCTGTAAACCATGTGCTGACATAAACACTTTAGTAAAGCCTATAAACCATGTGATAAGTGATAGATTGTCTATAAACAAATGTGCTGACCAAATGGTAAGGCGTATAAACCATGTGTAGTCATCCAATTAATTGTTCTTGACCAAATGCTATACAGGTGGTGTGACGGCAACATGACGATTGGGGCAGGACCGCAATCACTACAGTATTTTTGCTGATAAAGTAGCCGTTCCCGAACGGCTTTGTACTAATTTTTGACTTTTTTTAATCCAAAAAATAGCCGTTTGGGCTATAATTTTTTTCTTTCTATAAGTTGATTAGAGATGAGAGGCCAGATCAACCCAATTACTCAACTACATATTCCATAGAAAAAATTGAGTTGGGGGTGAAGAAATCACTCGGTTCTCGTCTTCCGGCGAGGATGATTCAGCTTTGAAGCTACAGTAAGCGATATCGTGACCATTGCACGTTGCGTTAAAGCTATCATGTTTGCACGTTGCGTTGAAGCTACAGTAAGCACTATCGTGACCATTGCTAATAAAAGCTCTTCCCAGGAGATTACGCATCGGAGAAGGATCCAACTGGGATCGTGAGTTTGCCAACCCACGACTTATTAAAGATTATTTTTGTGATACTCTGGTTTATAACGACGGTCAATTTAAGCATTGTTTCCCGATGAGTCGTAATTTCTTTAATTTTATTGTCTGCGACATGGAGGAGCACTTTCCTTTTTTTCGACAATGGATAGATGCTATGAGAGCAAAGGGATTCACATCGCTCAAGAAAATGGCACATCGTGTGCAATCATGTCGTATGTGGGAAAAATGTAAAATTAGGGATGCTATGTACGCTTGCATAATTCTGCATAACATGATTTTAGAAGACAGGAAAAGTCATGTGCCAAAATTACGAGGACGCCGATGTTCTGGAAGTAGAAATTTTGAACGATGAAAGAGATGAGATTCGCCCTGAGGTCCGAAGTAGGAAAATACATAATATGCTTAAAGTAGATTTGGTGGAGTATGTTTGCTATAATCAAGTCGTAAACGAGTAACTATACTTTTTATCTTTTTTTTTCTAGGTTCATTGTATTTTTGTCTTTGTATTGTATTTTTAAGCTTTTAGTTTGATTTTCTTTTTAATATTTGTATTGTATAATATTTTTATTTGTAATTTTTTGATGAAAAAGTTATCTACAAAACTAGAAAAAAATTGGTCAAATCTTTGCCAAGCCGCCACCATTACTGCATTACATACTCAAGTGATGTGGGGTTGATGGAAGGGACATGTCACATGGCAAGCCCCCATCTATAGGCATCAAGTCAGTATTAACACATAATCAAAATTCTACTACTCCCTCCCTTCCATTTTAAATCGCATATTTTGACTTTTGGGCATATTTAAAGAAAAGAAAAAACAGAGTTGATTTTCAGAAATTGTCAGTACTTTTTAGAATGGATAACGATGAATGAGAAGATAAGGTGGAGAAAAGTAACTTATTTTAGAGGTAGTTTAGGTATTTTACTGTTAAAAGTTTACGAAAACAACTAACAGGCAACTTATTTTGGGATGGAGAGAAAAGAAAAACAAACAATTTAAAATGAGACGTCGGCAGTACAAAATAAGATACTATAAGAATATTTAAAGGAGAAAGACCAAAGTAGGACTAAAACATTGAAAATATACCAAAACAGGACTTCCATGTTTTTATTCCCGAAATAGGACTTACATTACCAAACATGGTCATATACATTACCAAGAAAGTATAGTAATTTGCACATGTACACTGCCACATTACCACAATGCAAAGTCCTATCCCGGGAAAAAAACATGAAAGTCTTATTTTAGTACTTTTCTCTATGTTTTAGTCTTATTTAGAATGATTTCTAAATATTTAATTTTATAAAGACTCACTGAAAACAAGTAAACAAATAAATATTACTCTCTCCGTCCGGATTTGAAGTACCCATTTTGACTTTTGGTCATTTTTATTGGGTATTGACTTTGTGTGTAAATGGTCTAAAACACCCCTGCGGCCCTGCCCTTCACCGACCATTTCACTCACCCAACACCGCACCTTTCTCCTACTACCTTCACCAACACCAATCGCCGCCCCTTGCTCCGATCATCTCTGCTGCAGGGCCACCGCCACTGCCACCGTCAGCCTCCCCGCCGCCGCAGGCCTGCCGTTCCTTGTAGATCTGGGGAGACTGTGAATTGAAGATTTTGACTAGGGAGAGAAAGAGAAGAAGAAGAAGAAGAAGAAGAAGAAGAAGAAGAAGGTGACGAGAGAGAAAGAAGAAGTAGATCTAAGGAGAGAGAGAGAAAGAAGAAGTAGATCTAAGGAGATTTTGAGAAGAAGAAAACAAAAAGAAGAGGAGAAATAATTGGGATTGAAGAGGAGGAGGAGAAAGAAATAAACCAGTGGACAATGGAAGAGTGCAGATCCGAGAAAAAAGAAAGAAAAAGAGATAAGAGATTAGGAATTGAAAATGAAGGGAGAAAGAAAGGAAGAAGAAAGAAGGGGGGAAGGGTATTTTAGGAAGAGTGGGTTAGAAAACGTATAATGGAAACTTTATTTTCGGACGGAGAAAAGTAGAGTGGAAACTTAAAATGAGGACGGAGGGAGATCGAACCAAAATAGTAACCGTAATAATTCTTTTGGGAATGAGAGGGATATTAAATAAAGTCTATTATGGAGGGCTTGGGAAGGTGAGAGCCGTGTTTATTTGTGCCTTCTTAAATTTGACACAAAGGCCGTGTGCTCTGATTTTGAGGAGAGAAGGGATTGTCATCATTTCTATACTCCGTAGTAGGTTCTGCTGCGACAATATTATCCTCTGCTAAGTGACGATGGCACAAGGCTCCTTTACTCCGACAGCAAAGAGGTTTTCTCATTCTCTTTCTTTGATTATTTTAATTTCAATTCTCAATTATGAACGCGAAGCACTGTTTTCTCAGGTACGCGGTTGTCACCGGAGCAAACAAAGGGATCGGGTTTGAAGTTTGTAGGCAGTTGGCTTCTAGTGGGATTTTTGTGGTTTTAACTGCGAGAGACGAAAAGAAGGGACTTGAAGCTCTTCAAAAGCTTAAGGATTGTGGCGTCTCCGGCGACTTACTCGGTTTCCATCAGCTTGATGTGGTAGACCCTCACAGTGTTGCTAATTTAGCTGATTTTGTCAAAACCCAGTTTGGAAAACTGGATATTTTGGTGAGCTACTTTAATTTGAATCCTTTTTTTCCTGTTGTTCCTTTGGGATGGATTTATTATGTTTCTTATTCTTTGTGTTAGAATATGAAACTTCGTTTGTGTTCCTAATGCTGGGAACAAACTAATTCCCAGGGAGAAGGGTACTTAGACCAAAATATAATTTTCAACCCAACTTTATTTGAGTTGATTATATGAGGCTTTTTGGAGGTGTCCAAAAACAAATCTTGGGCGTACCCTATGAAAAAGAATTACCGATGAAGAATCTTTATTTTGAAACCCTGTGCAGGTGAACAATGCTGGCATTTCTGGAATAGTATATACACCTGATAATTTTCGAAGAGGTGTTGAGCTCAGTGGAGATTGGGTAAATTATAAGCCATCAATTTCTTCCTTTATTGTCTTGTTGATGCATTAACAATTTACTGGACATAATTACCATGCCGTTTTGACACCCAAATCTTTTATAAAATTTAGAAAAATTGGTGTTTTAACAAATCCGACCTTGACCTTTTATAAGTACCTGTCTGCGTTGTTGCAACTTAGACCCCATGGGTCTGCGATAAATCATGAAATCATCAATCCCACATACAGTTTTTAATTGTATAGGTTGGTTTAACTGAGCTTCTCATATGCAGCCTGTTTGTGACTCTATTTTGGAAAATTTCCTTAAAAACTACTCCACAGTACAGTTTCTTTCTATTGAATATGACTCTCTTTTGGGACTGATGGTGCATAAGTCATGTGTTCGTTCGATGCAGCCAGATGGAAAGGAAGTTCGTTGGAACGAAATGGTGAGTCAGAATTTAGACTTAGCCGAACAATGCCTCAAAACAAACTACTATGGTGCAAAAGGAATGGTCGAGGCTCTTGCTCCCCTGCTGCAGTCATCTGATTCTGCAACCATAGTCAATGTTTCATCGGGATTGGGTCTGTTGAAGAACATACCCAACCAATGGGCAAAAGGGCTGTTGAGTGATGCTGAAAACCTCTCAGAAGAGAGAGTGGATGAAGTGGGGAAGCAATTTCTGAAGGATTTCAGGGATGGGTTGCTAGAAGCCAATGGGTGGCCACAATATTTCTCAACCTACATCGTTGCAAAAGCGTGTATGAATGCCTACACAAGGGTTCTGGCGAAAAAACATCCCAGTCTTCGCATCAATGCTGTAGCTCCCGGGTTTTGCAAGACTGACATAACCCTCAATCTTGGTTCTTTAACTGCGGCGCAAGGAGCCGAGTATGTTGTGAGGGCAGCACTGCTGCCTAAGGATGGTCCTTCTGGCTGTTTGTTCAATATGCAAGAAATGTCATCTTTCTGAAAAATCATTGAGTGAAACGAAAACTATATATGTACAAGTTTATAATTCCCTGTGTTATGTGGAGACATCTTTGTCCTTTGTGAATAAAGCGAAGTGTTATTCGGAAATAATGCAGAAATTGCAATTTGATCTTCGTTTCAGTCCAATATCTTAGTCAATATGGCAAGGCTACATAAGCTCTCATGATTGTTATTTTTCCATATTAGGAACAGATTTTTATGTATATATGGACGGAAATGGTAGACCAATGGTACCCCAATGGTAGACCATCCCTTCATTATCACTTATTATTATTTATACGGAGTATTTTTTTTTACATCCCAAAATATGTGGTAATGAAATGGGAGAAAGAACAAAATAAGATTAAAATATTGAAAATCTATCAAAATAAAACTTTCATGTTTTTATTCTTGAAATAGGATTTACATTATCAAGCATAGTCATGTACATTACCAAAAAAGTATAGTAATGTGCACATGTACAGTGCCACATTACCACAGTGCAAAGTTCTATTTCCGGGAAAAA